ATAAATAGTAAGGAATCTGAAATTATATTAGCTTTAATAAATATTAAAGCTAAAGAATTTATTAATATATAAGACTTAGAACCCTTATTATAATAATTATAATTTTTCTTACTAGGTATTATAGTATATAAGGTAAAGAAATTAATAAGCAAATACTTGAAATATTTTAAATATCTACTAGTAATAGGAAAGAAGGCTATAAGGTTACCTTTATACTTATTATTATATAGACAAATAATAAAGCTAAAAGAAGATATTATAGAATTAATTAAAAATAATTAAAGAAGATTTAAAGAAGGATAGAAAAAGAGGCTAGAAAGTAATAATAGAAAAAGTTATTATATATATAGTTATTAGAAAGAAAAAAAGTATATAATAATATAAAGAGGTTCTTTTATAGAAGTAGAGAATTATCTGGATTAACTACTAGTTTTCGAGCTAGTTCTAATTAGAAATTAGTATAACTAATTAATATATACTTTTAGAAGCCCGTAAATAATCTTTAGAATCTTAGAAATATTTATATAGGTTTCTTATATAAATATTTATTAAATTCTTTTTATATGGCTATTTAGATTATTCTAATATAAGATCTAATAGATAGTATTAATTTTATAGAATAATACCTTAGTACTTTGGATTAAGCTAATTAGAATACTTAGATCCTAAACAAAATTATAATTACCGGCTAGCTCCTATATCTGGAGTATAATTACCCTTCTTTCTCGCTTATTTAACCCTAATCTAATTAGACGATTTTTATATCTATTATCCAGATTATATTAGTAAACCTATTTTCTAAGATACTAGAAGTTTATCTTAATTAAATATATAATTAATTAAATATTTTACCAGAATGAATTAATAGATCTTAGAAATAAGATCTTAGAAGAAGGATATAATTATAATATATATAGAGTTATATATAACTTAAGGATATATAATAAACCTCGGATATTACAGGTATTAATTAGGGAAATTAAAGGCCTTTTAATATTATAACTAACTACTATTTATATTATAAGTATTAGGCTTATAAATTACTAATTATATATATATTATTAGGGCCTTCTATTTAGAGGGGATTTCTCTGGACCTTATAGAAGGGATAGAGATTAGTTCTATACTAAATTTAATATTATAGTTTTATAATATACTAATTTATTCTATTATCTTATTACTTACTAATAAATATCTTATATTTAGTTTTATAAAAAGAAAACTATTATAATAAAGAATTATTTAGAAATATTATAATTTCTTTATATTTAGTTAATTAAAGAATAATTAAATAAAGAATAATTAAATAAAGTTTTTAAAGTTATTTTTAAATAAATTTATTACTAATTTTATAAAAAATATATTTATATAATTTAATATTTAAATACTTATTTAATAATTCTAATATAAAATTATTTAAATTAATTTCTCTTAATTATTTATTTATAAGTTTTATTTCTTTATTTATAAAAAGAAATTATTTATAATATTAAATCTCTAATATTAAACTCAGATTCTTTTTAATATATATATAATTTATAATAAAAGAAATTCGAAAATAAAAGAATTCATAATAGATTTATAATAAGAAATTTAATTATAAAAATACTAGATTTAAAGTAAATATTTTATTTTTAAATATTTTATTTATAAATATTTTATTTATAATAAGAAATTTAGGAAATAAAATATTATAATTTTAAAGAATTTAAAGCTTGAGAAATTTAATTTAATAATAAAATCGAAATTATAATTAAAGAGCTTTAAAGATATATATAAGATATATATATTTCAAAAAGAAATTTTTATAAAATCGGGTATTATATAAGCAAAAAGATTAATTATTAAAAAAAGTAATTTTGGACCTAAAAGAAATTAATTTTATAAGATAATTAAATAATTAAAAAACTAATTATTTATTAATTAGTAAAAAGTAATATTTTTTCTTATAAAACTAATTATAAATAAAATAATTAATAATTATTTCTTTTTTTTAATATAAAATAATAGCTTCGCTTTTATAAAACCGAATTATAAATAAGTATTACTTAATTAATATTAGTTTACTAGAAATATATAATATAATATATAATATAATATATAATATAATATATAATATAATATATAATATATAATATAATATATAATATAATATATAGTATAATATATAATATAATATATAATATAATATATAATATAATATATAATATATATAAAATATTTAATATATAAATTAGTAAAGTAATTAATATTTAGAAGTAAAAATTATAATATTATAATATTAATATATAATTTCTAAATTTATTAAATATAATAAAAATTAGTTTACTAATTAAATTATTTATAAAAAACGAGGTTATATAATTATATATATAACTTCTAAAATAATAACTATATTAATATTAACTTTAGCTTTAATTTAATTTTAATTTAAATTAATTATATTAAATTTCCTAAATTTCAAGATTTAAAGGCTTTAATAATATTTAATATAATAAATTAGACCCGTAATTTAAACTCAATTATATAATCTTTATTATTATAGCTATAGAAATATATAGCTTATATATATTTAGCTTATATAAAAGTAAAACTCTTTTTTCTTTTTTTAATTATTTCTTTATATATTAAAACTACTAGTAGCTTTTAAAGTTTCTAGCTTTTTTTATTAAATTTTTTTCCGAATTAAATAAAATGGATTTAAATAGCTAATAATTACTTTTCTAATAAGCTAATATTCTTTTAGAATAAATTCAAGCCCTTAAGGGCCTTATATAAACTTTATAAGCTCGGCTTAATATAAGAAAAGGTTATTATTATAATTAGTTATCTAATATATTTATATTTAATAGCTTTTAAAAGAAATATTTTATTTGAATTATATAATTATAAGCCAAGCTATAAGTTAATATAAAAAATAATAAGAAACTTATTTGTTTTTTATATTACTATATTCGATTATAAGAGAAAGTTCTATTATAAGTTATATTATAAGTAAAGAATATAGGCTAGTAAAAAATAGTTTCGAGGCTATATAATTAATTAGATATTATATATAATATATAAAAAGAACTAAATAATAATATTCTAGTAAAAAAATAAGCCTTTTATAATCTATTATATAGAGTTTTATAGTCGAATTAGATTAAATAATTATTTTTGGAATTCGGTTTCTTAAAGAAGCTTTATATAGCTCTTATATTAATAGAAAAGCCTGGGAATTTTAAAGGCTGTATTATTTTTTATTTAGTAAGTAATATTAGACTTGGAACGGGGCTATAGTAAAGGCTATTAGTTAATAAATATAGGCTTATATAATATAACTATAGATTAGGAAACCGCCCTAGAAGTATATATAGCCTCTATATCTGGGATATATATAAAATGGGGTTTAAAAAATATAATTAAAGCCTATAAAGAAAAGAGACTATACTTATACTATATTAATACTAGCTATTAAATACGAAATTGCATATACTTGGTACTAATTGGATTAGAAGCTAACTTTGGAAGTTATATAGCAAAAATTAGTACTTTAAGAATATATTAGATTAATAAGGTTCTAGAAGAACTTGATTCTAGTAACTTTGAAAATAAATAGGCCTCCGGCTTTATAGAAAAGAGAATAATATAACGGGTTAGACCCGTAATTTGAACTCGGTTATATAATCTTTATTACTCTAGTTATAAGGGTATATGGCCTATATATATTTAGCTTATATAAGAGTAAGACTTTCTTTTTCTCTTTTTAGTTATTTCTTCTTATATTAAAATTACTAGTTTTTTTTATATAAAGGCCTGGCCCGTAATATTTAAGGCTTTTTAGGCTTTATAATATCTTAAATATATATCTTTTTCTTTTTTTAAATTTATTTTTTCGCAAATTTGAATTCTAATTAAAATATTCTTATTTAATAATAATTATAATAATAATTATAATAATAATTAATAAAAGTATTTTCTAAAAGGCTATATTAAAGAATAAATATATTATTAGTTTTCGGGCTTTACTAAAATTATTAACTAAATTATAGCTTTATTCTTTTTTTATTTTTCCTTTAATTTCTTCTTATCTTTTCTTTGAATTAGCCTTATATATATATATATATAAATAAAGTAATTAGTCTAGTATATTCGTTAATTTAATATATAGAAATTAGTAGAGTTATAGCTTTTAATTAAATATATAATTATTATATTAATATAGCTATTTTAAGTCCTTATATATATCTTTATTTTTCGACTTGGAGTTTTCTAATGGAATTTCAAAACTTATCATACGACTATATAAACCCTTACCAAGTGGCGATAGCGCTTGAAAACGCGGCAGAATCGATCTGATCGATTCTTATCGGGATAGTCCGACTATTGATTCGACTGTCCCGAGACAGTTCGGATCACTCTTAGAAACATATATACCCTGCGACACCTCAGAGGTAGATCTGAATCGAGGCAGAGTGTCTGGCCGCTGAGCATTCGAGAGATGAGAATCTGTTTTGCAACCTGGGAGAAGCTGAAATTGTTGTGCAGAAATTGGTTGAGTTCGAGATGCTTTCAGCAACCACTGCTTCTCGCCCATTGGCGCCCAATTCCGAACTGCTTCAAACGTTCGCCAATCACAAGACAACTGAGTTTGCTTGCAATTTTCTCAAGGGTTTGCAACGTCCTATTAGCTGTGCGTTACTGGAAACTCGCCTCCTTCATTTCGACGAAGTTGACCAACGAACTCTATCACTTGATCGCATGAAGAACTTGCACTAGATTCCTGTCTCTTAGCCTTCGCGATGACAACTAATAGATTAGGCTAGAGCGAAGCAGTCAGGACAAGTATTGTAATGACGAGAATAGTTTAGACAACGAATACAAAAATAGGGAACTACTGGTGCTTGCCAATGTACTGGAGGTTGCTGGACCCCCCACCACATCTTCTACAAGGCATTAAGCTTGGCCGAGAATGCCAAGACTAGAAGCAATTGAGTATAAGTCAGTGAAGATATTGTGCCAATGCAGATCTGAGTAACTGAAAATTTGAGATTAAAAAGCAACAATATTGCTAGCGTCTCCAGGAAATCCTGGCTTATTCAAATTCAGCATAATCGGACGACGCAAATTCAGACGACACAGCGGACCCTCTACGCCCTTCCAACTCCTGAATAGCCCACTCCATCTTCGGCTTCCACTCGTCCGGCAACAGCCCCATCAACGCCCAGAACTCATTATCAGTTGCTCTTGGTGTCCACCAAACTTGTTCCCTGGTCATCATCAACATGAACCAGTACCCAACTATGGTTAATGTTCTTGGGTCATGCTGTGTCAACAGCTCCACAAACCGTGGTCCGACCTTGACTGCAAACTTGAACAGGTAGTCGATATCCGGACATTTGTAAATGACCGAAAGCCATTGGACGCTATTTGTGTAGGCACGCAAAGTCTTCTCATCGGTGGAGACCATATCCAAGCCCTCAAGCAGGAAGTCAAATTTTGTGTAGTGCTTTTGCTCTTGTATGAGGTTGATCGTGTAAGTCGAGGGTGTCCGCTCGAGTTCGAGGAGATGTTTGATGGGACCAGGCTGAATGTAGTCCAAAGTACCTTCCACAACTAGTTTGAAGTTAGTTGACAACTTAGGACAAAATGAGTTGAATATATTAAGAGGTCGAGTATAGCGGGCTATTATTTCTTCCAAGGAGGTCCTTACTTGCATTTAGCCCGGTCCATGGCTGAAACCAGTAAAGGGGCAACAATTGCTCCTCCTCGTGCGAGAGGTAATGATGGCTGGTGATGGTGACGAAGGCTATAGTGAAAGACCCGGCCAAGATGACCTCTGCGTTCTCTGCGTTGATGCCTTGGCTCAGCTGTTGGTTATGGGCAGCGATAGCTTTGGTCATGTATCTGTGTGATGCGTGACAGAGTTCTGTATTGTTGGGTTCGAATTCTCGAAGATTGAATGCTGCAAACCCAAGGACTGCGTCCATGAGTCCTGCATTGCCCATGGCAATATCTATGACCCATCGTGCGCAATCTTCTTGGATCTCGGTGGGGGGGATGCTACTGGAGCCTGTGAGCCTGAAGAGACTTTCCGAGCTGAATTTGGTGAAGTCTAGAAGGTCAAGGACTTAGCGTTGACTATTCAGAACATTGCTTGGACACAAAAAGACTATTGCCTTTAGGTGCGCTCTTGGGAATTACCGGAGAGCGCAATTGAGACATAGAACCAACAAGAATAAGAGCGAGGTTATTCTTACGGTGCATAAGCTTGAGTTCAAGTAACCGATCGCTCTCCGTCCTGGCGCTTTGGAGAGCACCAGATTCCAGAAACTGACCCTCTATCAGATTTCGGGCTTTGAAGTCTGAAGACGAAGCAGCCTCCAGGGCTGCGCAGCACCCGCCAGGAGGCAAGATTCCGGCGTCTCGGAGTTGTTGACATTGGCATTTAGGGGGAGTAGGTGCTGTGTACGGTGATGAATAACCCGGGCTACTGTCATTACTGACGAGTCTCTTGAACTGGAACTGTTTTGGTGAAGAGCCCCGAGACTGGTTGCTCGGCTTTTCTGGTGGGTATTCGCACTCTAGTTCGTATTTGAGACAATTCGAGCACATAGGATGCACCTCATCGCACTGCAGCCACCACAATCAGTTTTCTGGCTCCTTTGCATATTTGACACAACTTCTACCTTAGTTTTTCTCCGCTTACAATGCAAACATCCGGTTCTGCTCTTTCGATGAGGGCGTCGACGGTACATAGTTGGACAGAAATACGGATACGCTGCGTATGATTCTCCACACTTTCCTCTGCTGGCCAATCAAAAACGAAGCAAATGTGAAGCGAGGATGGAACTTTTGAGACAATTGATTTTTCCCTGTAGTTCTTGAAGGAGTAAAACTGGTGAGGAAGATAGGAATTGTCTAGAGATAAATAGCACGAGAGGATGAGAAAATGAGATATACATGATGACACTCCTGAATCCACAGTGCCAGAGAGGTGAAGCTGTGCCGTACGGTGACCTTGAAGCACCCTTGTAATGCCAGCGCCTCAGCTGCATGTCCCGATTCTGTCGCTTCAGCCCTACTTCGAACGAGCGTTCACATCTGATTGGCTCGTGGATGCGCCACACTCCGTGGCGGAAGACGATGACCCCCAATTCCTGAACAGCCCATGTAACAATCCATGTCCGATTGATTGGAAACAGTTACGAATTTCTGCTGCAAGCTCGCGATCGCATACAAATTTCACGTTTCATGGAAACCCGATGGGGATTTCGGGCAGACCGTCACGCTAAAACATTCGTATCGGAGGGAAGGCAGACTCGTTTATGCCCCAGCTTCACAAATGAGAACGCAAACCTACGTCTGGCGGCGCGTATTGAGGCCGGAAACAGACGCTGGACTTTTCACATAATGCAATGGACTTTCGCAGCAGGAGGGATCTCCACAATGCTTTCATTGGGCCATGAATGCAATGCAGAATGGCAGCTCTGCGGACACCGTTGGAGGCTGGATCAATGCGGCATCAAGCTTCTTCAAATATTTAAGCTTAAAGCCACAAAAACTACGTAGAAACAGCTGCCAAGAGTGAATAGTGACGTTCTAGCGTTCGCTCTGATAGTCAATGGTAAGACTGATGCGGAATTGGCGGGTTACAAGCCCATCGATTCGGGTTTGACGGCCATGAGGCTGTGCGAGCCATGTGCCACCACCAACTTTATTATCCCTAGCAAATGAACCCCAGGCTCGCGTGAAGCGATCCGTCTGACAAGCGCCGAGATCTCTCCTCTCCCCAGCTTTCCATCCTTCCAGTCAAGTCGCAGAACTCGTTAAGCACGGTCCCAGGCGGTCTCGTTAAGCACAAAGGCAGTCTGCAAGCCATTACTGTACTGTAGATGATAAAATGGTGTGCGCGGGTTCATGCGCCCTGGGCCCGTCAAACTTGACCTTCGGGATAAACGGTGGGCGATCAATCCCCCCTCACTGTTCTTGCCTATCAAATCGACATCGAGGATCACCAGAGATCGGTTGTGCCGCCACTATTCTTAGGTCTTACCAAAAAGATGACAAATAATCCCCTGTGGCTGGTAAACTGGGGACATGATGACTGCGTCTTCTGAACAAGGGGTGTGGAGGTCCCCGCGCGGGCCCCCCCCCCCCCAAGGCTGAAGACAAACGAGACAGTAGATGGCATTGGCCAATCTGATCCAGGAAAGGAAGGTAGGTCCCTGAGCAAGTCCCCAAGGCTGAAGTCACACCGGGCTGGAGACTTCATTCATAGTGCGGTTTAGGAATGTAGAGCTGAAGACAAACGAAGGAGTGGAAGGGTTCTACCAGCCAAACGCCCACACCACTCAACCGCTCAAACCTGAATTTTGCCACGACAGCACTCCAAACATCGAAAAACTAACGTTGGAATCGGACTTTTTGGGGCATTTTCCATGTTCTGAGAAGTTTTGAGAATTTCCTAAGCACTTTGAAAATTCCCTAAATTTTTGGTGTTCCGACAGGGTATGTTTGGGCGTTTGGCTGGTGAGCCCTTCTGCAAAGGCCGCTGGCCCTCGCGTGGCCTGTGAGGAAATAAACCAGCTACACTGAAGTTGGTTTTCCGATTGTGGATAGCACAATATTGACGAACACAATAGATACTGTGAAGTTGAGCGCATTATAATTTCCAGAGACCCATGGATTATTGGCCATCAGAGACACAATAACGACCATGTCCGAATCTATTACGAATAGCACTCGATTTGCTATCAGTCCCTCGGATGTTAGCAGCCCCTGCACGAGCCTTTTCAAGCGCGAATGTTGTATGGCAACTGTGTGCTAGTAGTCACGTGCAGGCTCACGTGACTACATTCCTGTATTTAAGCTTTGGCCACTCGTGCTACACCTCTCTTTCCTGATAAAGAAAACAATATATTATTATTACAATACAACAACAATGTTTTATTGTAACAGCGAAGATTACGATTACAGATCGCCGGAATAAGCTCTTAATAGGGATGATTGAGAATTTGTAGTGTTTGAAGTCATGCCTGGGGCCAAAGGAGTAGAAGGAAGGTCGGGAAATGATAATAAGGCTAGATAATACGTTGCTTGCGGGGCTGGGCGTGGAAGAAGTACTAGGTAATAATATTGAGCGAGTTTGAGCTTCGAATATAATATAGATATATAATTTCTGGCGCCACTTCAATTCTTGTTTTTACTTTTTTTCTAATACTATAATGCGTTTATAACATTATAAAACGTACTACAGTGCGTTTTACAGGGGTGAAACGCAATGCAGTAAGTTTGAGGATATCCCCTCTATAGTAGTAGCAACGGGTGTCAAACTGGGTTAGTATCACGAGTATGCACTAATGACCACACTAAACAAACTAGTGGCTGGTAAAGCCATTCTTAATACGGTTATCTCCAAATGGCTAAGCATAACTTGGCGATATTAGGCATTTGATAAAAAGCGCCTAGCACGGGCTATTATATGTTGCTTGTGCATCGAAATGTGGATCGTAAATCGAGTACGGCAAACCAGTATCGCCATGCGCACAATAGCACAGGTATTTGAAATGGAATCCACCGCCGTCAAATCCCCCGACTAACGGAGACCATGGCTTCGCCCCAATACCCACGCAGTTTGCGTGGAGGGCGTCGTACACCTGTTCCTGCTGGCCTGTGGAACACGCGCCCGACGCTGCGCTCATCGACTTGCAGTTGCCCTCGAAGGCTACTACTTTAGGGTCCCCGTGTCTTTTAGCAGAGGCAGGAACGGAGAACAAAAGGACCGGTATAGCGAATAGCGTAGAAAGAAGCACTAAAAAGCATGAGTATTTGTTAGGTTATAAGTTTAAAATGAAAGGTAAATATACTTAATGCGCGTAAATCGAGCAGAGTAGGGAGTTTCATTGAGATTTTAAAGAATTGATTAAAAGCTAGCTAGAAAAGAGCTCTGGTGGTGTGTGGAAGCTCTGTGATATGCACAGAGCATGGCTAAGTAAGGCCCTGTTTCGCATGAACAGTGTGTCAAAAAAAATTAAGGTAATTAATTATATTTAATTAAATTAAATTTCCAATTAATTAGAATTTGATTATCGACTTCTAAAAAAAACTATTAAACTAATTATAATTAATTATTTCCAATTATTATATAAAAATTATATAAAAGCTATATAAGTAATAAATTTTTTAAATAATATATAATAAAAGTATAAAAATAATAAAAGTTAATTGATTTTCTAAGAAGAGAGAAAGAAAGCAAGATAATATATATATGAATTATTTGTTCCGAATATTATATAACTATACTATATAATTAAAGAGCTAAAATCCTTATTATAATACTTATTTACAAAAATAAGTAAAGTAAATAAAAGTGAAATACTAGCTATTAAGCCTATTATACTAACGAGCCGGTGGGCAGTAGTCTGTGCGTTCAGGCCAGTTTTCGGGCATTTTCAGGCTTTGCAAATTCGCTTACAGGCTTTGGAAAACTAAAGTCTGCTTAAATACTTAAAAGTTATAAGATAGCAAGGCATAGTTATGACTTAATATTTAGGGTAAGAGAAGTAAAGTAACTAAAGCATAATTTGATTAATTAATTTTTAAAGATTTAATTATTTGAAAATTTTATTTGTTAGTAAAATGCCCTGAGTATATAGACTACTATCGGGAGGCTCGTAAGGTAATACTTAAATTAGGCTAAAATAAACTTTACTTTTATATTATTTTATTAATTTAAAAAATAAAAATAAAAATAAAATAAAAAATATTTTAATTAATAATATAATTATAAAATTAAACTTTTTTAAACTTATAAATTACTTTATCTAAATTCGCCTAATATAATAAATATATAAATCTTATATTATTAATAAATATATAAATCTTATATTATTAATAAATATATAAAGTTAAACTTTTCTTTAATTTATAAATTACTTTATTTAAATTAACTTAATATGCCTTTAACCTTTAAGCTTGCTTAAAGTTAAAGGGTTTCAGTACGTTGGAAAAAAGGGAGAAAACGACACTGCGAGTTAAATCACATGACATCTGGCTTCTGATTCGCTACCTCGCTAGTGTGGCTTTTTCCTGATGTTCTGATTAGCCGGCGTATTTTGGTAGGTAATACCAAAAAAAAAATTAAAAATTAAAAATTAAAAAAACTTTAGGAAACTAGTTTTATTATAAGTATAAGATCTAGGGCCTAGAATATATAATTAGATTATCTTTATTTTAATAATTTAAAGCTAAAAAAGAGAAGAGGATCTTAAGGGAACCTTAAAGTAAGGAAGAAAATTCGCTTAAGCCTTAGGCACATATTTCGCTTAATTTTCGGCCTAAGGCTTAATTATTAGCCTAAAGCTTAACTATTAATTTAAGATAAGCTATTTTATTAATATAAACTATTATAATTTAAGTTTTAATATTTTAATTATTTAATATATATAATATATTTATATAATTAAAGGAATTTATATAAAATATATATAAGAAAAAAAATATCTAATAATTATAAATTAAATATAAGTATAATTAATTTCCTAGAAATTATATAATTATATTATATAATTTAAAGTAATTTAAATTACTTTTATATAAGTAATAAATAATAAAATATACTAAATATTAGTATTAATTAAATTTAGTATATTTAGAAATTACTTCTAGAGTTAAGGTAATAGTGTTTTAGTCCCCGGATCCGGGATAGTTATATCGCTGTTTTTAGGGGGTCGGAACACCAAAATTAAGCGAGCATCATTACGAGCCTACCGACAGAAGTCCGTGTTTTTAGCAATGTTTTCAGGTGTCGCAAAACTCAAATCGCCCACTTCACTTCACATTTTCTCAGTAACTATAGATTAGAACTATATAGAATTCAAGCACGTACGATAAAAGAAGCCGGGTTGAGTTTAGAGAGCCTT